AGTGAGCAACAAGGTTGTATAGTAGTGTACAAACTTAAGAATTAATAAAGATACAAGAGGCATGACCTCACCTTAACTCTGAAAAAAAAAAAAATTCTTTGAAATTCATAAATTCAACACAATAATTTTTGAAATCTAAAAATGTAAACAATATACATTCTACATATAAAATTATTGAAATGCTATTGGTCAGAATGCAGCTCAAATGTTGTGTAAGTGAAAATTTTTGGTATACTTCCTTGAAATAAATTTTAAAAGAATTCTGAAATTGATTGAAAGCACATGTCAATTGTCTCTGAATCCTGAAATCTACTATAGTATATAAAGTACATCTTCATAAATTATCTAGCTCCAATAACTTTTATTGTTTCATTCATTCCAAGATTTTCTATTATTTGCTTGAGTTGGCATAACAACGTCATGTAGCAGATCATTTACATATGTACGTACATACAAATGTTTAATACTAATAAAGTTTTTGTTGATATCGATTTATACTGATTTTTCGATAAATGTATATAAGGGCTAAAATAAAAATTACCTTGTTATTAAACTTTATTATGAAATAATAATTTCTCAGATTTGCTTAATTTTTTATATCGTGTAATACAGAATATTATTATTCTGATAACAACTTTATATAAAAGATAAAACACTTTTTTTTCTTGATTGCAAATTTTATCACGTATAGAAGGTTTATTGGTAAATACATTAAAAATTTTCTGATACTAATCTTGATAAGACCTCGGTTGATATAAATTTTGGGATCAAGTTTTTCTATCATCTAATAATCTAAATTTTTACTTGATGGATGGCTAGAACAATTAAAATTTACGTAATATTAAAGTGTTATTTGTTTATTTTGATACCATCCGGGTTTTATTTAATGATACCAATATATTACAGTCAGAACTCTATAAATGTACACACTCTATAAATATTTAGACTAAGTAAAAATCTCTAAATGCAATGCATGCAAGGCATTGTCTGGTCAGACCCAACGGTTCCAATTCATTAAATCTATATATAATTTCTTCTTTATAAATGCACATACTATCTAAGTGCACTATTTTAAATTTTTTTTTATGATCCCAACAGTAGTGCATTTACGGAGTTCTGACTATATATAATAAAAAATGTTTATCTTGGCCTAAATTATATTATATGCATATGTTTTGTTAAACTATATGATGTTTTTAGTAACATGAGTTTACCGACCACTTGGAGTGTTAATGATAAATCTGATCATTTAGAGTAGATGGGCTTAGGGTAAACTATACAGGTGTGATTACTTCACTTCATATCAAATTTTCATTTTTTATAAATTTATAACAAGTAGACAACCAACAATTTATTCATAAATAAAAGGCAAAGGTGTAAATTGGTTTGACTCTACATTGATAAGAGTGATCATTCTATATCTCAATGCGAATTAATTTATTTTGAAGTTAGAATTGTGGATAAGGGTGACAATGGGTATTAAATCCTTTACTATTCATTTGAAAAATATGCTATATATTTACATCCTAATTGTTTATTAATCTATCTTTTAAAGAATTATTGGAATCGTATTTTGTACTAGAACAGCTAATCTAAACACAATGCCTGGTAACCATGCATTTTAACTTTTCTTATTATATGTATTCATTAATACTATTGTTTTTGTTAAAATTCCTACAGGATAGGAACATAATTCTTGGGGTTATCGTAGTGATAATGGACGTGTTTTTTGCCATTCGGAAAGTGACAAATTATATAGACCATTATTTACTATTGGTGATATTATTGGATGCTGTTTAAATTTTTAATATAATATTGTATTTTATACCAAAAATGGTGTAAATTTAGGTATATAATTGTTATTTCATACTAAATACATACCTTAGTTAATAAATATTATATAATTTTTTTTATAATATATTTCAAAGAATTGCATTTAAAAATTTGCGGTAAAAAATGAAAATGAAAATATTGCACTATATCCTTGCATCAGGTTGAGATAATGAGGTTGTTCTGTTAAAGCAAATTTAGGTTATCAAAAATTCGAATATAAATGTAAATTTATTAACTTTGCATTGTTTATTAGTGTTTTTTTTTTATATTATTAATTATTATATTAATTACTATATATCTATGATTCTTTTTACAAGTAGCAATGACAGATTATGATATTGAATTTGAAATATTGAAAAAAAGTTGGAATAGAGCTTTAGATATGCGAAATTTTGAATCATTGAGTAAACAGTCAAATATGCTTAGAGAATTAGTTAAATTGTTGGATTTCACATCAACTTATTTAGGAAAGGCTTATTTTATTATAAGCAATTATAAAGATGCACTCTTAAAATTTTCAGAAACAAATCTGTTTGATAAAATCAAAAAATCATTTACTAAAAATAATTTACTTTATGATGTTTTGCGATTGTTAAAATAATGAAGCATTCATATTAAGATATCGGGAAGAGATTTACTACATGATGGGAATATATTTTAAATCATTTAAAGATTTTCAAAAATTATCTAAAATCGATTCGACAGATGCGTGAGCATCAAAAGCCTATGATGAAGCAGTCAGGAGGTGGTATAACTCATTTTTATCATCAATTATAAATTTGATATTTAATGTTTATTTTAAATTAGATGGTGGGTATATTCTATAAATCTAAATAAAAATTGAATAACACTTTTCTAACTCATTTAAATAAAATAATAGGAGATGAATATATAGCTCACTTAAATCATAGTTTTAAGCTGAATTTGAATTAAAATGTCTGACATTGTTTAGGCAGTAAGTACATATTATTTGCAATAATTACTAGTTAATTTTAATTGGGTTGAAGATTGTGATCTTGTATAGTAATTCTATTATCATTATTCTACTCTATTTTATACCAATCTGAATTATTTTAACTGGTTATAAAACATTTGTTATAAATAACGAAGTTCTAGTTAATAATATAATTTTGTTTCATAATATAATGACACATTATTTTCTATTGTTATGCAAATTATATATATGCAGAGAGTAAGTATAAGTCCCAACACATATTAAATTAGAATTTAATAATAATGCATTAAATAATACTCTGATTATATAAATGCAGAGAGTAAGTACAATTTTCAAGTTTCATTATAAATTACTGTAGCATCAGTTTATATAGGTCATAAATATATTACTAATTTAGGAGGTAAGTATATTGCTAACTTTATTTATTTAGATATATAATTAAATGGCAAATTATACTTATTAAATTAGCTAAATGAACAACTAGTGAGTAAGTATTATTTTATAATAGATTGGCACCAAATGTATCTTATAGACTTAATTTACATTACAAAAATTTCAGGACGTGAGAATTAAATTTAAATATTCAAAATTATGAAGATTTAATAATCTTTTTTTGTTAACGTACAAAATAGAAGGTGATGCAATATTTTAATACATATTAATCAAGTACAAAATATAAAATAAATAGCTAATTAATATTTATTAATTTCAAAAAGTGAGTATTGCATTAAACTTCAGAATAAATTACTTTATATCGCAAATCTAATTTTTTAATATATCAATAATTAGTATGTAAGCATAAAAATCACATTAATTTATTGAGTCAAATGTACATACTATATAATACCAATTAAAAGCAACCAAAATAGGTAGAATTTTGGGTCCAAAGTGAGGATATTGTTTTTATAAAGTACTGACCAAAAGACTCGAATCTAATACAAATACACACAAAGAATTCACAAAACTCAGATATATTGAGCTTTAGCGGGCTTGTGTTACAAGGAAAAAATTTTCCAAATACATCATTTATATTAAGCAATCTAGAATTTGCAAAAACTCATAATTAATTAATAGAGTGTGTTTTGCATAGGGTATTAAAAAAGGGTCTTTTGGTCAGTGCTCTATGGTATATGTAAGACTAATTTTATAAGTAAAACATAATAACTTTTAGTCAAAATTGTGGAATTTCTTATATTTGAGGTTGCTTTTAATTAGGTACCAAATAAATATTATATAATTTTTACACAATTTATAATATTAATTTAGTTAGTAAGTAATTTTCAGAATCTATTAATTTTGACATCTTACGCTAAAATTGGGTTATGCTAAAAATTTTGCTAATTATGGTTAGTCTCTCTTGATGTTAAGTCAGAATTTAGGGTTCTGATTATTAATAAAAGGGTATATATTAATTCAGTAGAATTATAGACTTGAATAGTAAACACAAATACTAGCATAAACTAATTTCAGTGTAATATGCCATATTAATTACTATTTCTTAATTTATTATAATATGCTTATAGCAAGTAAGTATTTGGTTAAGCCAAGATTAAACATAATCATAATTTTTACCAATAAAATTTTACTTTTAATGCATAAATGCAGTACGTAAATATAAAGTTATTTAATAGAGAATTCTTAATAATAATGTATTGAATAAGTCTGATTATAAAATTATAACATTAGGAGTTAAATATTGTGCTAACATGCATATTGATTTTTCAAATAAGATTTCTAATTAATTAACATTGATAATGCTTTAAATAATTATGTAAATTAGATTGTAAGTTAAATTGCATAACATACTTTTTTTTTTTTTTTTTTTTTTTAAGGTGTCTTTTGGGACCGAGCTTTATTGATGTTTAACTGTTGACCACGTGGGTCTTACATTTAGTATTACAACAAGAGTATAACTAGCCACACGTACAACTTTTGGTTGCCTATTTAAGTAG